CCCGGGGCCGGGGGTCATTCCGAGCCGCGGGAGTGCCCGCGGGATGCTGACACGGGCCGAAGCGTCAGCTGGGACCGGGGCTCTTCCTCTATGTCCGTGGCTCTCTGTGGGTCCCTGGGACCCGCCCGTGGTTCTGAGCAGACACCGAGGCCGGGAGGATCGGCCTGTCGTTGTTTCGCTGTTACCGGTGTCCCGGGACGAACAGCAGCAGGGAGGGACCCAGCCGGGGGGCGGGGGAGGCCCCGGCCATCTTGTGCGGCCCCGAGCCCGGAGCTGCGCGGGTAAGATGGAAGGAATGAGCGGGCTCCCTCGGGATGTGGCCAGCGCAGGAGCCCTCTGAAGCGCTTTCAGACACCGCATCCTGCCCGGATCCCGGCGAGCGGGGGTCTCCGCTGCCCTTGAGACCGGCAGCCGCGAGGGAAGAGAGGGGCTGGGGTGGGACTGGCTGAAAGAGAGGAAGGAGCAGGATCTGAGCTGGCAGCGTTCGCGCTCGCCACCGGGCTGGGAGCACCAGAAAGGCTGGGGACAGGGATGAGTTGACACGGGCAGGACCTCGAGGTGGCCGGCTCCCTTGGGCCTGGGGCACAGGCAAGGCTGGTGGCGTTTTGGGTACAGGTACAGGGGTGACACGGGAGGTCCTTGCTCGAATCTAAGCATGACTGTCGTTGAATTTGCAGTGATTTCGCTGCATTCGAAGTGTGAAGCTGAGCCCTGCCCCCTGAGTGCTCGAGCCTGTGCCCGTGACAACGCTGTGGCACTGCCGGGGATGGATTGGGCTCTGCTGCCCAGGCCCATGGCAGAAGCTCCTGCCACTCCCATGCCTCAGCTGGCTCTTTCCTTGCAGCCAGATATGGAATTCTCCTTGCAATAGCAGCATTGTCACGGGTACAGGCGTGTTTTTCCCAGCTCCCTGAACCTCTTTCAGGGGAGAGAACCAGTGCTCCCAGTATGGTGCCCAGGGCTTGCCTGGCCATGGGTCCTGGGGTATCCTCATGAATCTCTTGGAGCAGCAATGGGGAGTCCCAAAGGCCTGGATGAGCTTCTCACTTGATTTTCTGGACTCCAGGTGTTACCTGTTTCAGGGCTGCCTTCATGAAGGAAGCATGGAATAACAGAAATGTGCCACTTGTAGCAGGGGTGCCTGAAAGAGTCACCTGGAAGTGTCACCCCATGCTCTGGGAAAGCCTGACAGTTTCATCTGTATCTAGGGAGAAGCAACAGAACAGGAGGTGTCAGGGCTCTTCTGCATCAGGCGAGAGGCACTTCCTCAAAAATAAGGGTGGTTTTTGGGTGGGTTGAACTTGCCTGCACCAAGTAAAGGTTCAAGTTCAGAGGGTCAGGAAGTGGAGGCCCACTGTACTGATGTGTCTTCATTGCCTGGGAGAAGGAAGGAGGAGGTCCTCCACCTCAACATCTGGTAGCCCCTTTAACAGGGAAAAGATGCGTGTCAGTCAGCCTCCTTCCTGTTCTGTTTAAGGTATTGTTCCGTTCCTCTTCAGGCAGACCACTTCCCCTTTCAGTGGGGTGTGTGTTGGCTCTGGGCACCAAAGGGATGTGGGCTTCTCCAGAGCCAGCTGTACCTGCATGGGAGTTCCTCTGTGCTCTCCCAGCCTGGTCTTGGAACTGCCAGGGGTCCCTCAGTGCCGGTGAGGGGGGAGAGCTCAGACAGCCCCTCTGGGAGCTGGACGCAATTGTTGTTGGGCCCCAATCTAACACTGGCGCCTTTCATCATTCTGCTCCTCCCTCTTCAGGCCTAGTGAGGAGCAGTTCGTCTTGGAAGGATGCTTTGTTATGTGCAGCTGAGGTACTTTGTGTTTGTTTGGCATGTGCCTGTGCCCAGGTCTTTGCAGAAGATCACAGTGCTGCCCTGGAATGGCTGCAGTCCTGCCTGCCTTTGTAGTCCTGTTGGGGAGCAGGATTCTGGACTCTCCAAGGGTACCCTGGTGGGGTGTCAGAGTCCTGAAAGCATCTGGGCTGCCCTGGGCTTTGGCTGCAGTTAACAAATACGGCTGTAAGCAGGGGCCTCGTGGCCAAACAGGTCATTCCCCCAGGGTCCCAAAAAGATTGCAGCAAGTCTCAAGTTGACTGTTTAGTCTGGGTCTGATCCAGAAGAGGAGTGCCATGAAGGGATTTTCATCCTTGGCCTTGAGGTGCTTTGTTTTCAGCAGCACCGAAGGGCAATTCCTGTCCTCTGTATCTACCCTGGCTGTGTTCTGACTCAACACTGGAGCAAGCTACAGAGTGATGGCAGTGCTGTATTGCCTTACCGAGAACAAGCAAGTGGCTCTGCCACACAAGTGATGAACTGAGCACAAAGCTGCATGGTCTGTGTTCCCCACCATCTCTGTTGCCAGTGCAATGCCGTGGGGGCTGGCTTGTAGCCTCTTTGAAGACTGACTAGGACATGGATTGCAGTGTTTGTGGGGTGGGATGGCCTCTGATCTATGCCAGCTCCTTAAAGCCTCAGTCACATTTCTGGCAAATGTCTGCAGGCCGTCAGCAGTTTCATCAGCTCCCAATGTGTATGACTGAACCAAGGCAGCTATTGCTGGGGAACAGCCTCCTAGACCTGTCTCAAAACTGGAGAGGGGTTTTGCACCTTCTCTGGATTGTTTGTGAGTCGTTGGGAGGAAGGAAGCCTCAAGTACTGCAGGCTCTCCGCTGGGGCTGTGGGCACTGCAGCAACAAGCCCTGAGGCTGGGCAGCACCTGTGATCAGCCCAGCCTGCCAGCACCCAATACAACTTGGCACATCCTTGAACATGTTAATCCTTCTCACCTTGCTGATGAGAGGGTTTGCCTCAAGCAACACTCATGTCCAGATCACACCAGTAAACTGACTCTCTGCTAAGTGGCAGCTGTCACCACGCTCTGGTGTTGTGGATAAACAGGGCTGTGATGAATAGCCTGGCAGGATCCTGGCAGCTGCAGAGGCAGCCCTTGGTGTAAGTCGTCTCCTCAGTGTTTATGGCTTAAACTGTCAGAGCAGCACAGGCTGACAGTGAGAAACCTGCAGGAAGGCTGCTGTGCGGAAAAAGCATGCGGGATGTGTTGCCAAGATAAGTGGGAGAAGTGCTAAAGCATCCTGGGTTTGCTTTGGGCTCCTGTGTGCTGCTGCTGACCCCAAGGCAGATCTCACCTGCCTTACCCAAGCTGCTAAACCTGCACAGGCTGAGTACCCTCCTCTGCTCCCTGCAGGCTGAGGCAGAAGTGGCATCTTTGAATCGCCGTATCCAGCTGGTAGAGGAGGAGTTGGACCGAGCTCAGGAGCGCCTTGCCACAGCTCTGCAGAAGCTGGAAGAGGCAGAGAAGGCAGCAGATGAGAGCGAAAGGTGAGCAAGGACTCCTGCTTGCACTCTGTCAAACACCGAGTGTCCGCTGCCATCAACTTTTTGGGCTTCCTAGAGTGGGGGAGGAGATCCCACATCAAGGCTGGATGTGGGAGTCAGTGCCTGCTTATGCAGAGCAGCTAAAACAATGCTCATGAACCTGAGGCTGCTGATGGCCTTGAGTGTCCTGGAACCTGAGGCTTGGGAGCAAGGAAGTGCCATGTGCCACCATGCATCTCCGACTCCAAAGGAGGAGAAATAAATGGGTTCATGGACACCATTACCTTGTAAAGGTGGCTGCTGGTGGGGCAGCCTGTCTTCCATCTGCCTCTGCCAGCATGCTCCATCATGGCAGATGTCCCCTGACCTGGCCTGTGGTTCAAAGGGGAGGGGTCCACTTCCAGCTGTCTAATGTGTTTCCTCATGCACACACCGTGAGCAGCCTGACCCAGCTGGTGGCCTGGCATAGAGACAGACTTGTCTCTTCCTGCATTTGAAATAGGAAAGTGCTTGACATGGCTGTGCTGAGTCCCTAAGACAGCTGGGTTTGTTCTCAGCAGCATTGCACTTCCCTTGGCCTCGGAACCTTGTGATCTGCTGGAGGAATGGTCCAAGGAGCAGTTAATTCCAAGCAATTGAGGTTGCTGTATCCAGCCCAGAAGCCTCTGCCTTCCTGTGTCACTTTCTTCATTCAGAGGAGTTATGGCTTATCAGGAAGCACTGTGCTTCCAGGGCAGTGTTGTTAATGCTCTGAAACTCACTGCACTGCTGGCTTGTCCAAGATTGTTTTAAACATCTTCCCTCCCTGTGCTTGCTTTTGGGCAGAGGCATGAAAGTCATTGAAAACAGAGCTCTGAAAGATGAGGAGAAGATGGAACTGCAGGAGATCCAGCTCAAGGAAGCCAAGCACATTGCAGAGGAGGCAGACAGAAAGTATGAGGAGGTGAGACTCTTGCTCTAGTATGATTGACCTGGGCCAGTAGAGTTGAGTCCTCTTCCTGCTGATAGCAAATCTAAGGGCAGAGCCTGGCTCTCAGCAGACTTGCCTCTGCTTGGCCAAAAGCTCCAGTGGCTCCTGCAGGCATTCCTTCCATTCACTGCTATGCAGACCCTACAAGCACAAGACTATCCTCCTTCCTCTTTACTCTGATTCTCCTTTCCAGGTTGCTCGGAAACTGGTGATCATTGAAGGAGATCTGGAGCGCACTGAAGAGAGAGCTGAACTTGCAGAGTCGTGAGTAGTCCACTTGCATGTACCTGGCAGGTCTGCCTCTGCATGGAAACTAACACTGCATTGCTAAATTTGTTACACAAGGCCTGAAGCACAGGGTGGGTTTAGGTCTGTGAAGGAAAGGGATGAGAGCACTTCCCTCCTTGAAACAGGATTAACTCCACCTAGGACATGGAGTTTGTGAAGCCATTTGCCTTGGGTGGAGATGCTCTGCCCGTTTGCATGGAGGCATTCCCTAGTCATGGATGCTGGAGAGTCTTTCTCTCCTCAGTATTCACCAGCACTGCTTTGTGTGTGCAGTCACAAGATCATTCATGTTGCTACAGAGCACAGTGCTTGTCCTGAAGTGGCAGCGGCCTCCTGAGCCAGTGGCTGAAGTGACATATGGGGTGGCCAAGGGCAGAGCTGTGGCTGAGGCTGGTCTCTGGGCCTCTCCAAGTACTTGCAGTAACTACTACCGGCTTCTGCACTGCTGAGCAGAAATCTCGGCTTCCTCTGCTCAGAGCAGAGACACAAATCCTGGTGCCCCATCCTTTCATATGTCTGGATGCTTTAGCTGATCCTTGAGGAGCTGGTCAGGGCCTTTCCCTGCTCTGGGCCTTGTCTAACACAGTTGGTGTGTACACAGCAGCAGCAGCAGCAGCAGCACTGTGCTTCCTACCCAGACGTGCATGTTGTGACCATGACTTTTTTGTGTTTCCCCCCACCCCCTTTTTTGCTCTGTGGTGGTGTGGTTTTGGTGCTCCTTTTGACCTTGCCCCCACCTGGCTTGTGCCCTTGTGTGACCGTCACTAACAGTCATTGCCGGGAGCTGCAGGAGCAGATCAGAGTGATGGACCAGAACTTGAAGTGTCTGTCTGTTGCCGAAGAAAAGGTACTAACTTTTCCCTTCTTGAACCATTAAACCAGAACTCATGTGGTCTCCTCACTATGCTCCTCCCCTCAGCTTAACTGTGTCTCTTTCTCTCTCTCCTGGAACATACTATCTTCTCTGCCCATAAATATCCCTGTCTGAGTGGTGGTGGCTGTCCTTCTGTCCATCAGAACAACTTCCCTCCATATAGCACACTAAACGTGAAGCTTCTCCTTGGAGACTCCCAAGTCTGGCAGAAACCTGTGTCCACATCTCACTGCTCAGCTCTGTGCCCCGTGCATGTGCTGGCAGAATACTTCAAGTGTGAGCTTGGAGGCAAATGGGAACTTGCTTTCTGCACAGGTGCCTTTGATAGGACTCAAAGCAGGATCCTATCCAGTCTCATTTCAGACAGTCTCCTAAAAAACTTCCTGGTCTTCCCTGCACATGGATTCACTTCTTGTTTCCTGTCTTTCTCTCCCACTTCTTCTTTCCCTTTTTTCTCTCCCCTTTCCTTACAAAACCCCACAGTAAATGTTCCGAGCTGGAGGAGGAGCTGAAGAATGTCACCAACAATCTCAAGTCTCTTGAGGCTCAGGCTGAGAAGGTAGGGCTACCTGTCCCAGGGCCAGAAACATTGCTGTTGTGCTAGATGGGTGTGTAAACAGCAGAGCACCCACTGGGGTGGAAATGATTCAGCTGCAGTCTTAAGCAAGCCAGGAGTGCTGTGCTTACTCTGCTGGGAGGGCTAACATAAGTCATTGGAGGGCTGTGGAAGCTGGGGTGTGGGAAGCCCAGCTGCCTTTCCCTGCCTTGGGACTTACTTAATCAACCAGAATGTTTAAGCTACTAAAATGTTAAGATGAGAATTTTTCTGCATCCAAGTTTGTGTTCCATGTCTTATATGAGGCTTGCTGCCTGATCCAGTCCTGTTGGACTTGGGTAAGGATGTGAACAACTCCCAGTTGGAAGGTTCTGTTGGCATGTATGCTGCAGTGATGAGTTTACGTCAGCCTCTCTAGTTGTGGGCTCTCTGGAGAGGGAGGTATCTGGGGCTGCTGACTGCTGACTCCTTTTCCACAGTACTCTCAAAAAGAGGATAAATATGAAGAAGAGATCAAGATTCTGACTGATAAACTCAAAGAGGTGAGTGACCATGTCAGGATGGCCCAGCTGGGTGAGCTGGCCTCAGCCGGACTGGGAAGAGATATGAAGGGTGGGAGACTCCATGTCCTCAGACTGATGCCCTTTGCTGTAGAGCTGTTGCACTAACTGGCTTATTTCTGTCTGGCAGGCGGAGACCCGTGCTGAATTTGCTGAACGCTCTGTAGCCAAGCTGGAGAAGACCATTGATGATCTGGAAGGTACATTCTGGGGACAGGAAACCAAAGAATGTGTGTTTAGTGAGAAGTTAAGGAGGGCTATCTCTCAGGTAGCTGGAGAGCGGAGAGGCTGCTGTGCTCCTCATAACTTGGAGCATAACCCAATTTACCTCCAAGGTGAGGCTTGGCAAGAGCCCTGCCCTGTGCCTCTGCTCTGAAAGCCGTTCCCTGGCTGTTCTGCAGCAGGTCTCAAATTCTCAAACCTGGCCTTATCTAGATAATTGGTGTATTATGGTAGTGATGTCCTTAGGAATGTAACTCAACCCCTGTGCTCCAGCTTAATCGAATTAATTTAGGAGTGGCATAGGAAAGAAACACCTGAACTTGTAAGAATTGGTCACAATAACATCTGTGCGTGCAGAACATCATGCATGTGCTGGCTACTGCAAATGGTGTCTTGCAAGTCAACCACAGGAGTCAGTGAGTCTTGAAACAGCCCCCATGAACACTCAGACTCCCCAGTGTGAGTCCTGAATCAAGGTTAAATCGCCAGCAATTCAGTCCATGGGGTAGTCAGCCTGTGCCAAGGGTGCATTCCTTTCCTCCTCCCATTCCTTCACACAGTTCTTCAGGAACACTCCTGAGGCCAGCCACCGCAGAACCTGGCCCCAAGCCACAGAGGGAGAAGGTTTCAGCTGCCTCCCTTAAATCTGGGACTGTGGCCAGATTCTTCTGTGGATTGCTGTGGCTGGAGCAGTGGTGCTGGTAAACCAAAGCCCTTACAGGTCTCCTACCTTGACCGCAGGTGGGCCTTTGTGGTCTTTTAGTGCGAGGTCTTGGAAATACAAAGCACCATCCTACGGTCTGGAGTCACTCTTATTATCTAGAAATAGCAATGGTGTCAGCTGAGCTCTTCCAGAGCTGCAGCCAAGCAGCAATCTGAACCACCTCATGATCCAGGACAAGCTTTTATTTGGACCTGCAAAAAGTCCTCCAAATCCCTGCATGCTCCCCTTGAAATCTGTTGATTGAGAATTGGCTCTGGTCTACAGCCTTGCTGCTGGAGTGACCTAGTTTATGACAACTGACAAAGTTCCCTAGGCTCTGTGAGGCTGTTAACTGTACTATAGCCCAGGCAGCAAGAGCTGGAGCAGCCTGTGCCAGCTCTGCAGGGCTCAGGGATGTGACAGCACAGTTCCAGGCCTACCCCTCCCTGGAGGCGGAGGGCTGCCTGTCTGCTCCATTATCTGATGGAGAACACTGGTGTGGCCAGTCTGCTCCCCCTCCTCACTGCATCCTTACAGGATTGGAATTTCCTCTGATGCCCAGCTCTATTACATGACTGACTTCTCCCAAGCCAGTCTTTGCATTGAGACATGGGTGAGAGCAAAGCACCTCAATTATCAGTGTTCTCCTTAGGTGTAACAAGCTTCTCCCTAAGTGGATGGAGTTGCCTTTCCCTGCTGCTCCTACTGACACTGGTTCCTGCTGACCTAGCTGGACAGCTTGTTTTTACAAGGTGATGTGGTTTGAGTGCTTGGCCATTGGAACTGGATTGTAATCCTGAAAGGCACTTGTGGGTCAGTCAGTCCTCATGCTGCTGGAACCCTTCTGTTCATTGATGGGGATGAACACGGAGTTGTGATGGCTCCACGTCTAACTTCATTTTCTTCTGTTCATGAATCCCATCCTGCTTTTCCTGCCCCAGAGTGTTGGAAGAACTCCTTTGCCTTCCCTCATTGTTTTCCTTTTGTTCTCCTCCTAAACGTCTTCTAGATGAGCTCTATGCCCAGAAACTGAAGTACAAAGCAATTAGTGAGGAACTGGACCACGCCCTGAATGACATGACTTCCATGTAAATATGAGCTGGCTGGAGTTCGCCTCTTGCTTCAGCAGGCTGGACTGCCAGTGCTTGCTTGGTTTGCTGTGGTTTCTGTAGTTGGAGAATTGATGGCACTGTGCCGCCCAGGTTACTTCTACAGATCTGCCCAAGTTGCCTCAGCATGCCTTCCTCTAACTCTAGGTCCTTGTGATCTGCATGTGTAACCAAGTGCTCTGCTGGCCTGAAAGGGTTCTGACTTAAATTTGAGTGCAGTTCCCATTCTTGCTGTGAAAGGCTTTCTCAGGAAATGTGGCTTTGTTATCTGATGGAGCCACTGGGCCATGGTCTCAGGATTCCTTCTGGAAGAGGCTGTGGATAGTGCTTAGGTGGATTCCTTAGGAATTGCCACAATAGGCTTGAGATGGGCCGGATCATGAACTGATCTGTGGAAGTAGCTGAACTTGTGTGTTTCTGCAACTTTGCTCCTCAGCTTTGGTGTTCAGATCTGCAGTGGGTGCTGCTAACAACTTCTCCACCTGGTCCTTGAGCTAACCCAGGAGAGGCCAGGTCCTCACCCCACAGAGAAGAGCCTTAACACGAGTGTCCCAAAGTTCCCTAAGCAGTTTGCTGTGCACAAACACTGAAGCTTCTCTTTAAATTAGTGTCTCCTTCTGTCTCACACAGATAAGTCTTGTGATTCCAAACTCCGCTTTGGATTTGTCTCTCTGCTTGGTGGCTTGTTCTGCATCTGCACCCGTCATTCGTGCTCTCTTCATCTGACTCTGAATTCCAGTACCTTTTTCCAGTTACTGTGCACAGGGCATCCCTGGGAATTGGTGCTCTAAAGACACGGAAGCAGCAGCAGCAGCCCCCCAGTTCTGCTGCACTTGCTCCCAAACAAAGCTCCCTCTGTGTGACCTGATGTGCCAGACACAGCCTGCTCTGAGGGGCTGCCCTTTCCGTGTCGGGGGAACTGGGAGGATGTTGTTCTCATCTGCATATCTTGTGTGGAGCCATAAAGCTCTTTTTGTATTTCTCTTGCCTCTTGCTCAAGCATGATGTCACCTTTTTTAAGGAAAACAATTCTTGCATAAATGGCCATTGCTTTTGAGAAACGAGTTTCTAGTGACCACTTGCTGCTTTAGAATAACTGTTTCAGCATTACCTTCAAACTGGTGTCACCCTTGGTGCAACACAGACCTCACTAGCATGCTGGATTTTCCTTTGAGGTGTCTTACTGGCTCCCAGACGTGATGGCAACTCTGCAGACAAGGCCTGTGGGGTCAAATGGGAGGCTGGGGGTTGCATCAGGAGGCCCTGGAGCTGTGCCTGACTGAAGACACTCCTCATTCCTGCCTGCTTTGGAGTGTTCACCAGCACTGGTTGCCAAATGCTAGCTTGCAGTGGGAGGTCACACACCTGATAGTTGTTAGCCAGGGTATGGAAGCCAATAAATACTGTGTGTGCTCTGGCTGGTCTCCAGTGGGGCAGAACTGGTTGGGTGTGAGGTGCTGCCTGTGCCAGGGGGAGGGATGTGTGGCCTCTTCCTTCAGGAATGAGAAGACACTGCAGCAGGGATGTGAGCATTTGAGCCGGGGAATCTTTTGCAGAGCCCTCCCCTCCCCATGCAGGGGCTGAGGGCTACAGGATCCTTCTAGGAGCATGTCATGGAGCTTCCCACTGAGCACTGCCACTGGCAGTGGGCTGTGAATGCCTGGCGTGTGTCACCACTGGCGCTGTTGCTAGTTGATCTGGTATGATAAACACTGGTCATCCTCTCAAAATGGTATGTGCTGTCTCATGGTGGTTAGTCAAATACTTATTCCTTTCTGGATTGCTTCGTCTGCCACAGTGCCCGAAGAGCCCTTCGTGAGCAGCATTCTGATGACATGGGACACTTCCCGTGGCTTTCTCAGGTTTGTGCCCTTCTGGTCTCCACATGACAGCACTGGCAGTCAGGATATGCACACCCATATGCCCCAGCCTGTCCCACTCTGTCTTTGGTGGCCAGTCTGGATGGGGAAGGGAGGGAACATTCAAGGAATTTCAAAGTGTGGTCTGATTCTCTGGGGATGTGGGGCAGTAGCTGTGCCCTGTAAGCACAGAGCAAGAACCCAGAAGTCTTCAGTAACCCAACTGCAGCTGGAGTTGAGGATCTGGATCCTGTGGGACAGGCAGGGCTTCTGTAAATATGAAGGCTTCCAGGCTAGTGTTCCATTGTCAGCTCTTATGACAACAGGGACACCATCATTGTCTGTCAATATCTGAAGGGAGGGTGTCAGAGGATGGAACAGGTTCTGCTTGGTAGTGCCCAGCAGTAGAACAGGCAACACATAGAAACTGATGCTCAGGAAGTTCCACCTGAACATGGGGAAGATTTTCTTTCCTGTGTTGTTAACTGAGCATTGAGAAGATTGCCCAGAAATGGTGTGAAGTCTCCCTCACAAGAGATATTCCAGAATGATCTGGATATAATCCTGTGTGATGTGCTCTGGGATGACTCTGCTTAAGCAGAGAGGTTGGACCCACAGATAACCTTTTCAACTTCACCCCTTCTGTGATAGTTAGTGGGTGGGAGGTGGTAGCCTGCCCTTGGGAAGTGCCTCTCTCCTCACAGGGAGGTCTAGTTGCATCCTGATTTGCTGTGGGGAGCTGGTGGCTCTTCTCTGCACAGTGATGTTCCTGGGAGTGTTATCTAAGGCTGGGCTGTGGCAGGCCCTTTTCCCACTCATCCGGAAGGAATCCACTCTGGGTGGTGGATGGGTGTGTGGGTGGGTGATGCAGTGTTTACCCTGGGAGGTTTTGGAGGCATCTGGTCTGACTGGATTGCTGGGCTTGTGCAGGCTGGTTAGTGTGAGCTGTGCTGTGATGTGGGAGTGCTGCAAACATAGGTTAACTGACCAGGAGAGCGAGATCCTGGGGGTCCCCATGTCCTGGTGCTCCCTGAGTGGCAGGGATAGCTGGTGAGGCTGCCCTGGGGTTGGGCGTAGAAGGGAGCAGGCCAAACATGGCTGCTGCAGATGTGGGCAGGTGCTCTATATGGAGAAGCTGTTCCTGAAGTCTGGGAAGTTCAGTCATGCTAAACACTCCAGTCTGCTACCTTGTGTGGGTGAATCATCAGGTCCCTGTTCAAGCAAACAGGAATGTTTGCTTGAAAGCTGTGAGCTGTTGCACCAAGTCCTGTGAGCACAGTTCATTCTCATCCTCTGCCACTCAGGACCAGCCTGAATCCCTTAGATCTGGGGAATGGCATTGGGGCTGCTCAGAGCCAGCATGGAGCCAGTCCCTCACAGCAGTAGTAGCTGTTGTGTGAGGCATGGGCCAGGATGCCACATACCCACAACTTCTAGATTGTGGTAGGACAAAAATCATTGGCTTGTCTGCCTGTGCCTCGGTCCCTTAGTGGCTTTAAAGAAGGGACAACAATCAGCATTACTGACCTCTCCTGCAGAGCGAGATGCAGTTAGAGCAGGTCCTGAGGACTGAGAGAAGCTGAGGGTGAAGCTGAAGTTGAGCTTCCCCCTCTGTGTGCAGGTGTTACATTAGAGGGACTGACCTGAGACTCTGGGGAGGGCAACATGCTTTGGTTGCTCCATGTAAACCACTTGACTTTCTGGAATTTTACCCAGCTAGGTCTTGTTCAAGAGCAAAATATTCTGAGATTGAAAGCAATGAAAAATGGTGTAGCTCCCCTTCAGAGGGTGCCTGAGAATCCTAGGACCTCATAGTACAAGCATTAGAGGGGAAGCCCAAACCAAGGCTGTGCTTTAGGCTCACTCCTCCAGCAGAGGCATCACACTGTGTCGCTGCAGGTGGTGCTGGTAGGTTCTGCCAGGCTGGAAGATGGTGCATAAGGTTTTTTCACTGCATGAATTCTCCTAAGTGCAGGAATTGGAGCTGTCAGGCTGGGAGGACTCTGCCCATGCAAATGAGCAGGGAGAGATGCTGAATCTCTGTGGTGGCTGGTTGTGGCTGACAGGCTGTGTGGCAGGACATGGGCCACTGAGCCCTGAGAAGTGACAGATCCTGGAAAGGGACCAAACATGCTGATGACCATGAGTGCTTGGCATGAGCCTTGAGGATGCATGTGGCAGCTAGACCTCTATGGGGCTATAAGGACAGGGACTGGAGAGGCCACGGCTGCAGAGGCAGTGGCAGCTTGTGCTCTGCTCATGGAGTTGTTCTGGGACAGATGTAAAAGAGGACCCTGTACTCCAAAAGTCCCTCTGTCCTGTACCTGAAGCAGTTGCTGCCTTCAGTCCTGTCTGGGTTGTGAGTGTGGCACCAGGTGTGTTCTCAGAGGAAGGTCCTCCAGGCCTAGGTTGAGATGTTGTCATTCTCAGTTCTTCTGGTGTGCCTGTCCTGCTGTTCAAACCCTGTAAATCGCAGTGTGCTGTGGCTCCCTCTGGAAGCTATTTCTGGTGCAGCTGTGGCAGGACTCGTTTCTGCAATGTGCTCCACAGGTTTAAAGATCTCTGTCCTTTCTGGGGTCCAGCCCAGCCCTGCCTGCAGGCTCCTCTTCTGGTGTCTCCTCTTCCTTTCTTTGCCTTTGCACATCTTTGACAGCACTTTCACTTCTGCCCACACTTGGTTTCCTCTGTGATCTTCCTGAACTGAAGCACAAGTTAGAGAAAGACAAACCTTTGGGAATAACCCAGGCTGTCCTCAGAAGCACATGTTATGGAGACAGCTTTTTTGATGTGCTCATCTTGGTGCTCTACTAACCTTCCCTTTCTCTTTTTTTCTCTCTTCCTCTTGTTTCCCTTATCCTGTCACTGCTGCAGAGTGCCTGTACAGCCAGCTTGAGAAAAACCGCCTGCTCTCTAATGAGCTGAAGTTAACGCTGCATGATCTGTGTGACTGAGAAGGGGCCCACTAATCCCATTAAACAAGCTTATTTCGACCACCAGTGCTGTGGACCACAGTGAAATCTGATCATTAAGACTGGCAGACTTGCGAATTTTATGCAATTGCTGCTTTTTAATGAGGCACTTGGATATAACCTGTAATTTATTTAAGCATTTTTTTAATATATAAAGGTAACCTCTATTCTTGGTGAAGTCACCCCTCAGACTTGGCTGGTTTTTGAGCAGTCTTGGTTGCTTGTCCAGGGGGTCCTGCCTGGCTCCTCCATGGAACCAGTATAGCTGCACCCCCTAAATGAAGGGTGGGGTGAAGTTAGACTTACGTCTGCTTGAAGCTGCCTGTCAAGTGCTACAACTTAATTTACTATTAGCTGAATGACTGTAGGATTTACTGGTGCATGGAATGATGGCTTCTACCAATAAATGACTGACCTTGTGGTCTGTGAGACACTGCACACCTGTATTCCTATCTAGGGGAGTCCTAATTGAGAAGGTTTGGGGGCAGAAGTAATTTCCCAGGCCTGACCCCAGTGCAGCTGCAGAGCCCTGAAATGGGTTGGGAAAGCTCACAGACATCTTGACAGCAAATGCCGAAATGCACAGCCTGAAGCTGTGTCCTGAGTTCCTGCAGGGGATATTTAAATGCTGCCGTTGCTCATGCTCGAGGAAGGCTGTTCTCTGTGCAGAGTTTCTGGCCCTGGGGAGGTTGGGAGTGGCTTTGGGAGTCTGCCTGTACCTAAAGGACGTTTTTCTACAGTCTGTCTGTCCAGTGTCCCAGCGTGTGGATGTCTCCAGTGATATGGGTGGGCTCACCTTTGGAGTGAAGCCTACTTAGAGCACTAGCTGCTGATCTGCTCTCCTCCTGGCTTAAGGAACATGTGAGAATTGACTGCATAGCTGCCTGTAGTGTTGGGCAGGGTGCAGCTCCCTCACTCCTCACTCTCTGCCTATCACTGGCCCAGCTCCTGCCCTGCTGCCCTCCAGGCTGGTGGTCTGCTCCCTGCTGCTGGGCTTGGCATCCCTGCCCTGTGCTGAGGGGACGGGGGGCACAGCCAGCTGTAGTTCCAGGGGGTGGTTTTCAAGTGTGTGTTGCTCTTGGGTGCCTTGCTGGGCCACGTGTGTCAACCGTGGAGGTGTGGAAGCCCTGGGAAGAGCTGGCTGCAGTCAGAGACACCTGCATGTGAAACACTGCCTAGAGCTCTGGCTAAAGGTGCACCATGGCCATACTGACTGGCAGTGTGAGAGGTGAGGGCTACATACAAGCCAGGTAACCTCAGAGCTTCCAGCTGCACCCAGCCAGGCACTCCGGTCCAAGGATCGCTGCGGCAGTGTGTGGGGAAAGGGCTGGCACAAGCTTTTTTTGGCAAAGGATTCTCCATTGTTTCATGCTGATTTGTAACTCTCAACTCTTGCTTCCTGCCAGATAAACTGAAATCCACCAAAGAGGAACATCTCTGCACGCAAAGAATGCTGGACCAGACCCTGCTAGACCTGAACGAGATGTAATGGATCCCTGCCACTGCCTCCGCCATGCAATGCCTGCTCAGCTGCTGCTGCCCTCTAACCCTGGGACCAGAGTTTACTTTCTGTTGCCAATTTGACCAAACACAAATCTCCTTTGTTCCTGGGTTAAAGGCCACCATGTTGGGCAGAGCTTCAAACAGCATCATTAAGGGAAATAAGCAATGCAATAATGTTTGGAGAGCATGTTTGAGATGTACACATTTTGTAACTACCTTTTTTTGTAGCAGCCATTATAAACATTCCAAATAACGTGTGAGCTGGTGAGCTATACTTCAAAGCTCTTGGCTTTAAAATTTGGTATTAACCTTCTGTTAATTGGCTCTGGGCCACCCTGCTTTGGCAGGGCAAGAAATGGATATGATGGTTCTGGCTGTGAGTCAGAGTAGCCAAGCTAGGGATGAAAGCCTGTTGGGAAAACTTCTTTCCAGGAGCTGTTTGCTAAAAGCACAGTTCAGTTTTTCAGCTTTAAGGTAACTCTGTGTTGGGAAGGAACAACTTGGGTGAAAGCATCATTTTTTTGGGTGTGTTTGTTTTTTTTTTTAAGCCAAGCCCGTCATCTGAACAATTGAACCCTCACAGGGATTGTGTCCCTTCCCCTCCATACCTGAAGGGCTTAGAGAAGCCACTGTCCCTGTAACCCATTGCTACCCTGAGGCTGACTTTGCCTTCACTAAGTGCTGATGCACCAAGCTTCACTGCTCATCACTGGGTTACACTTAACTGCTTAAGTACAACAGCCTTGTGTTCTTGGAGAAGTGGTTTTGCCTACCTGGAGGGATGGAGCCAAGCCTTCCCTCCTGCCCAGGACTGCTCTTACTGTCTTAATTGAGTACGAGCCATCTTGCTGTGCATTGCTGATGTGTTGTGGTTGTGAGGTGTGAGTGTGGCAATGTCACACTTGCAGTGTGTAGCTTGTGGTTTGAGCATGCTGCTTGGTTGTAGCAGTTTTTGGGGCCAATCTGGAGACAAAAACCCTATCCAGTGTTTTGATACTAAATTGAAAAATTGTGTTACTGTCTTTTGAAATAAAAACTGATCCCTCCTCACGGCTGCTGGCTGCAGAGCTTTACTGTGCAGGCTTGTGGGGGATGAGGGTGGGGATGGTGTATGTGCCCAACCTATGACCAGGCATAGGGTAAGTAGCACTTCCCAGGGCAAGAGTGCAAAGTAGGACTGTTGTGATGAGTTCCTCAGTCAGTTTGGAGATGACACTGAGTTGGGTGGAAGTGTTCACCTGCTGGAGGGCAGGAAGGCTCTGCAGAGGGATCTGGATCCATGGGCCAAAGCCAGTGGTGTAAGTCAACAAGGCCAAGTGCCAGGGTCTTGGGTCACCATAGCCTGCTGCAGTGCTCCATGCTTAGGGAAAAGTGGCTGGAGAGCTGGAAAACAACATGGGAGTGACGGTTGACAGCAGCTGCTCATAAGCCCACATAAGCACCCACAGTGGGTGCCCAGGGGGGAAGAGGCCAAGGGCGCCTGGCCCGTACCAGCCGTGGTGTGGTGGTGGGATCAGGGCAGTGCCCGTCCCCTGTGCTGGGCACTGCTGAGGAGTTGCAAACCCCAGGGTCAGTTATGGGCCCCTCATGACAAGAAAGACCTTGAGGGGCTGGAGTGCATCCAGAGAAAAGAACTGAGCTGGGGAAGGGGCTGGAGCACCAGTAGCAACTGAGGGAGCTGGAGTGGGCTCAGCCTGGAGAAAAGAAGGCTCAAGGGGACTTTTTCACTCTCCACAACTCCCTGACAGGAGGGTGCAGCCAGGAGGGGGTAGGCTCTCTCTACACCCAGGGAACAAGGGACAGGACAAGAGGAAATGGTTGTACCAGGGGAGGTTTATATTGGATATTAGAGAAAATTTCTTCACAGGAAGGGGTCCAGCCCTGTCATAGGCTGCCCCATCCAACCTGCCCTTGAACACATCCAGGGATGGGGTAGTCACAACTGCTCTGGGCCATCTGTGCCAGGGCCTCACCAGTCTCACAAGGAAAAATTTTTCCCCAATATCCCTGTATTGTATTTTGCATATGTATTTTGCACAGCCTGGTTTTTGGCAGGAGGGGGTCCACAGAGGGGGCTTCTAGGAGAAGCTGCTGGAAGCTTCCACGATGTCCAGCAGAGCCAATGGCTGATGGCTCTGAAGATGGACAATGCTGTTGGCCAAATGTTGGACCGATGAAAGAGGTTGGTAACGCATCTGTGGTGACATATTTAAGAAGTAAAAACAAAGTCACAGATTTTTTCTCTTAGAAAGAAGGAGGAGGAGAGAACATTTGAGAGAAAACAATATGGCAACACCAAGGTGAGTGGAGAAGGAGGGGGAGGAGGTGCTCTGTTGGAGATTCTCACAAATGGGACAGGACTGCTGGGTGACACATCACAAACTTTTATTTTGGGCACCAGTCTCAGTTACAGACACAGGAGATGGCACAAGTTCATGTCCCCACAAGCAGCTGAAGATTTCTTTGTTACAGAACATTTTATAAGTTTTTCAGCCAATAGCATATGGCTGAGCTTACAGACAATTGTTCCATCCAATCACTAGAAACACATGTACACCTTCTTCAAACAATGCTTGTTTGCGGTCTATTAACAATACACAATACTCTGTTATTAAGCTTAAAACCTTCTACTGTCTTGGTAAGCATATTTTTCTGCAGTCTTTAAGTCTATCTTAGCCAAGCCTAAAAAACTAAACTATTGTTTCATGTCCTGCATATTGTATTATTGTATCTTCCTTATTTTCAGGCTTTGCAGCTGCAGTCAGCTCTATGTTCTCTACTTTTTCTTTTCTGAGGCCTATTTTCACAGCTTCTGAAAATGAAGCTGAGATTCCTCTGAGGGCCATGGTGAAGATCATGGTGAAGCAGCTGTGCCCCTGCAGCCCATGGGGATCCACAGGGGATGCAGAAATACAACAGCCTGTGGGGATCCATGGGGAATGCAGAGGTCCACCCGCAGCCCGTGGCAGAGGTGCCCATGCCAGAGCGGGTGGATGCTTGTAGGAGGCAGTGATCCAGTGGAAGACCCGGAGGAGAGAAGTCTCTTGCTTCCAGGCTGGAGCAGCCTGTCCTCGGAGGACTGCACCCCGTGGAAAGACCCAGCTCACAGTGGTTTTGGGAGGACTGTCTGCCCATGGGAGGAATTCACACTGCAGCAGGTATGGTATGGCTGCTGCTTGTGAGAGTGGACTCATACCAGAGAAGTTCCTGGAGAACTGTCTCCCGTGGGAGTGTCAGGAAAATTAATCCACGAATACCAGAGGTTTATGTCCAAAAAGGAGACAGAGGAGTCCTTTTTCTTTATTCGAATAAAGGGAGAGGCCATGGGGCATTCCCCTGGGGTCTCTCAAATTTTTGGAGGGCGCAGCCTCCTTTTTATCCTAATTCCCGGCCGCTTGTCCCTTCTCTCTTTCCCCATAGGCTGAGGTACTTGAGAGGTACAGGCTTCTCGGAACGCCTGATACCTGGGGTACCTTTCCCCCCCCCCCAACCCCAATGCATAATCCCTTCTTAACTTTTATGGAATTCATAGTGTTCTTTCAGTGCCTCTTTGATCTTCTACTGGAATCCATCCCATTGTTTCTGTCGTCTCTCACTGATAGCTACATCTTATCAACTGACCCACAGCTTGTTTGTAAAGACAAGCTCATCATTCCTCTCAGGAGGGACCCCCACAATCTCACAGGGGAAGGACTCCTCTCCCAGAGCAGCAGAAGAAAATCTTGGTGATGAACTGACCTAAAAACCTCCATGCCCTGGTTCCCTGCACAGACCGGGGGCTTCTCCTCAGGAATGCTGGGGGGCACTGGGAGAGAGGTCAGTGGCACAGGGGGTCTGACGGCTCCCTGTGTTGCCTGAGCTGCCCACTCGGCCACCAGAACAACGCAGGAAGCATTAGGGCAGCTGTGGTTTTCCCGGTTTGGAGGGAGGCAAGAACGGAAAGCGGCGTGAAACTGGCGCCTGGCTGGGATGAAGGGGGTCAGGATGCCCAGTGTGACCAGGGCCTCCTGTAACACCCCAGAACTTTTCAGCCCCACATTAAAAATGCTGGACGATTTCTGTACAATCCGAATCTATCAGCTTTCATCTGGGAAAGATTTCACCCCTTTTCCATCAGGCTCACGCGGCCCATGAGCCCCCAGCCCGGCCGCCATTACCACACGGAGGAGTCCGAGCCCGCGCCACAGCGCCCCCTGCCGGCCGCGCCCGGAACTGCCCGGAACGGGAAAGCGCTTCAAGGGCAGGAAGATTCCGTCGGGATTTCGGGTTTTCCTTGCTGCTGCAGCCGTTGTTGTTGTTTGTTTGCATTGTTATACATACACACACGCTAGTAAAGGAGTGCTACTCCTTTTTCCATATCCTTACCTGAAAGCCCTTTCATTTCAGAGTTATAATTATTTGGAGAGGTCACGTTTTCCATTCCAGGGGAGGTTCCTGCCTTCCTTGGCAGACACCTGTCTTTCAAACCAAGACACCTTCCCTGACACACCTTGGCAGACACTTTCCCAAGACACCTTCATTCCAGTCCCTCAAGTCCTTGACTCCCATTCTCTGGTTTGGGTGGGCTGTTCTTTTGATACAGCATGGCAGGATGGGAGACCAGACACCTGGCAGATCTGGAGCTGGAGTGGCTTTTCCTAGATTGGGTGGATTTTTAACTGCTTTGGGTTATGATTGAGAACTGAGGCCATCAGACATGTGACTCCCAGGGGTCTGTTCATATCTGCAGAATGAGGGGCTCAGCACCCATCCTGGGGAGGACTGGCCATCATTAGCCCCGGGCAGTGGCAAACCTGGTGCTGTATCACCCAACCTGGCTTCTCCCTGCATACCTCCCCAGGAGGGCTTTCTCCCTCCTGTCCATCCAACTGGTTTGTGAACTGGGTGCTGAACCTCCTCCAGGAGGAAGACGAGGGACAAACAGGGTGAGACTGGCTATGTAGGGACCCAGGAGTGGGATGCAGGTTTGGGAGAGGGACAGTGTGGGGGAAACATCTTTTCCCCTCTTGGAAAGATAATTTTGAGGCTGGATGTTTGCAGCCTGTAGGCGAAGCTCTGAGTCATTCTGTGGAGAATTTAACTCATCCTCTGCAAACCAGCCACAGAGCTGCTTGGTAAGGGCTTTATTGAGCAAAGTTGGCTCCAGCAAGAGGGGAAACAAATCCCACCCCATTCCTAGGGAACAGGGCTTGCTGTGTCTTGCTCTGGGCCTTGTTCACCTTCCAGCAGGAGTCTCCTGGTGCAGAGGGTTTGCAGCCTGGTTCTGTGGGCCCAGCAAAACCTCACTGTGTCCAGGCAGGGAGCAGGGGCCCAGCTGGATCTGCCAGCATCTCTGTGCTGTCAAGACTCCTGAGGCAGGGCATTAAGCAGGGCACCAAGCTCTTCAGGTCCAGCTGCCCCATCTCCTGGCCTCCCTCACCCCCAGTGCCTGAGTTTGGCTTGGCTCTCCTTGGAGTGGCCCTCGGGTGTTGGTGCTGCCACAGACAGGAGGTTCTCAGGCTCCAGGACAAACATGCCATACAGGTTCCAGAGCAGCATGGCCAGGAGTGGCAGGAAGGTCATGCTGAAGCCAAAGGCACGGAAGGAGCGGCCAATGGTGTAGGACATCCAGAAAATCAACCTGGAGAAGGCAGAGGGTGCGGGCTCAGCTAAGGGTGATGCTATGGGGCTGGCACTCAGTGGTTCTGAGCAGCGAGGATTTCCCAGGTATGGCTGCTGTAGGAAGAGGAACCCTTCCTGGCTCTGGTGAGGTGCTGCCAGAGTGGCAGCAAACTCCATGGGATGGTGTTTGCTGGCACTGACAGAGCCCAACAGCACCCTGGGGTGAAGGAGCCACTTACCGGGAGATGGCGAAGAGCCCTGTGAGCAGCGGGATGAGCTTGAGGAGCTCCTGTTGGAGGTAGGTGGCCAGCACAGCCATGTTGAAGAAGTAGAGGATGAAGAGGTGGATGGACTGAGAGACGTAAGTGCGATGGATCTCCACCTCCCGGTGGAGCTCTCCAAAGGGCTCCAGGGCGGAGGAGCAGAGGCGGGAGATGCCGCTGACGATC